AAATAAATGAAAATAAATCTTTAAAAACAAAACAACTCTGGACTTCCAGGAAAGTATGCCCCACCATCCAAGACAGGCCTCAGATGTTAAGGGCAGAGTAGTGCTGGGGCACGAGAAGGACCTGCCAACCTCCAGCCCCAGTGGGCCAGAAGTCCGGGGACTCAGGCCAGCAGCTGGCCCTGTGTGCTGTGGGAACGACAGAGTGAAAGCCTAAGGGACGGCTTATAGCCCAGGGCTGTGCAAAGTAGAGGCCAGGTAGCCTACAGCCCTCATGGGTGGTGCCACCCGGTGAGCTCCGCTGTGCTGCATCCCAAAGTAACACAAAAAAGGGCCTGCGCTTCCCGCATCCCTGGGACCACACCTGCGGGCAAAACAGGATTTTATTTCTGGTGATTCTCTCCTAGATACTAGTCCCAGTGGTCAGCCCATCCTCCTCAGCAGAGATCTAAACAGCTTGAACTGACAAGTTAAATGCAGAAGATAAAAAAGCTTTTCAAGAGTGTGTGTGCAGAAGTGCTGAGCCATTTCAGTGCCTGGTGTAGCCACACATCAGGGCTTTACCAGGGATGCTCTATGGTCTTTTCCTCTTCCTCCTGTACTCTACCTTGAGGGAAGCTCAGTGCGTGTGTATCACCTGTGTGGTAAAGGGAAGGGCACTCTGGGGTCTCCTTCAGGGGCCCTTTGAGCCTCATCTGTCCCCTTCAGGTGATCCCACAGTCCCCAGGTACCTACTCCCCAGGGTGGGGGGACAGCACCTCTCTTCTGAAGGGCCTGGAGGGTGAGTGGTCAGGTACTCCTGTCCACTGCTGTCCTGGGCCAGCTCCTCCACCCCAGCACTAATCTAATCAGGAAATAGCAGAGTCCACTTTTCCCAGGGGTTATAAATAGCCAGAGATTTAGGCAGTATCATTTCTCTAGAAAATGTGCCATGTCCCTTCCTGCTCTGCACCCTCCCTTCTCTGTATTTAAATGATGTCCCGAAATAGACTTGGTTTCTGGAGGCTGCTGGCCTCCTAGGAGACAGAGCTTCATTGTTGGGGTGCTGAGGGATTGGGCAGGCTTCCCCAAGTGGGGGCCAGGGTTGCACCTGCAGAGGGAATCTGAAGTATGGCAGTGGTAGGACTCAAAGTAAAACATGATTGTGCCAGCCCAGCCCTGGCATGGGCAGCCAGTACGTGTCAAACGACAGCAAATGGTCCCAGAGGGACAGGGTCTTTGTGCAACAGGAAGACAGAGGAAACTGGAGATTCCCAGGGCCTGGAGCTATCCAGGAAGACTTTCTGGAAGATAGAGCTAGAACTGTGTATTAGCAATAGTTGCTTTCCCTGTCTCATGCTTCCAGGAAGATGTAGGGTTACTCTTTGCTATTTGGCAGGGGGGAGGAGTTGAGCTGCCTCTCTGAGGAGTGTGGTCACGACACACGGCCACAGCTGCTGCTTGTGGTCGAGGTGCAGACTCCAAATGAGGCACTTCATAAGAACCTTGCAGGTTTAGCAGAGCAGGTGACTGTATGTGGACTCTCGCTTCCTAGAGGTGTGGCCCTGGGAAAGCTGTTCATTCTAAGTCTCAGTGGCCTCGTCTGTAAAGTGAGAACAGTTGGGAAAGCTTAAACATTTAGAGAAGCTGGTTATGATGATTAGTTGAAATGCTGTATGTAAAGGGTTTGTCATTGTGCTAGGCTTATAGGAGATGCTCAGAATACATCAGTTGCTGTTACTGTTTTCCGTAACAACCCTCTGAATAAGTGTGGACACCCGCGTGAGGAAATTGAGGTTCAGGGGACTTTCAAATTCATAGCTGAGGGGAAGGGCCAACATTTGGATCCCAGATCAGTCTCTCAATTCTGGCACTTTCCCAACTCAGGCACCACCCCAGGATCTGAGAGGGACCACTGACTTAGTCCATGGCAGAGGCTAGGTCATGGGGGGGGCGAGACAGGGGAGGGGTGCTAGTTAAGTCCCACCAAGGGCCAGGACCATGGCACTGTCATTAGGCTTCCGCTGCTGCCTGGAGAGATCTGCATGAAAGAAAGGGTGTCACTGCGGAACCTCAGGGCAGGGTAGTGTCTGCCTCCCCTTAACAAAGACCAGCTGAGAACTCCCTATTCTAGGTGGCCACTGCTGGAGGACAGGAGTGGGGACAGATCTAGACCCTAGGTCCAAGACCCAGCCTTCTGGATGCCACCCAGGCCCATACTCCAGCCCAGGAAGGGTTTGGTATAAAAAAGGAAATTAGGGCTCTCCCCGGTGGTGCAACACTGTGAAGTGATCTGTAGCCACTGAAGCACAAGTGCGACCCCTGGCCAGGGAGCTGACCCACATGGCTCAGCAGGCCTCTCCTGTCTCGCCACTGCTCCCCTCAGCAGTGTATTTCTGTCAGTGCACATGGTCTGTGCCCCACTGTGTCTCTGGTGAACCTCTTACCCCCTGCATCTCTGGCCCGTACCCCAGATTTTATGTGCATAAATAAATCTTCTTAAAAATTTAAAAAAGGAACTTAGAGGAGAGAGGAGTTTCAGGAGCTTCTTTTGAGACCTTTGGCCCCAAGCCTTGTAGAATAGAGAGGCACCCCGGCTGGTGAGCTGTTCACCCTTCCCTCCTGTGTTTGAGGGAGCACTGGAGGGGTGGGATGTAGAGTGCTTGATTCTCTCCATGCCACTGTCCCTCTCGTGTTCTCAGTTTCATCCCTCCTTTGGGCAGGAAATGACTGCTCAAGACTGAGCCTGAGCCAAAACTGGCCCAGTAGGCAGGACCCAGGCCTCCTCAGAGGGGGACGTGGCAATAAAAGGTGTGGGGGTGACTTAGCTTCAGTGAGGGAAGCCTGCCCTGGGCGGACCCAGTCGCTTCCCTCTGCAGCCATCCTCTGTTAGCAGCAGTATTCAAACTGCGGTGCACCTGCCCCTAGACGTGCAAAGCCCTTCTAGGGTTCACGGGCAGGAGGGTTTAAGGGAATCAATATGTAGGTCGGCAACTGCCGTAGAAGCTATTGTCAAAAAAGCAGTCTGCCTGCCAACGGCTTTCACCACTCTCCCCTGCAGAGACAGGTCTGAGGCTCCCTGGGGAGCCTGGCCGGGGAGACTGGTCAGGGTACCTGGGGGACTGGCAGAGAAGGCCCTGTGATGTGGTGTGGGCATAGGTGTTGAGAACATGAAAGACTCTAATGGCCATGTTACAAATCCTTTCACTAGTCAGGTGAAAATGCTTTTGCTTTTCACACAACTGGTGGAACTTGTCAGTGGAGGGATCATTTAAAACAAATACTTAATAGTAGTTATATATTTAACTTAAGGCAAATAAGGAGGAAAGGGGTTAAAGAATTATATAACATTGCCATCATAAAACTATTTTCATCTCCATTTACTTACTCATATGAAAGCTATTTCATCCTTTCCAACGTTAAAAGCAAAACAACAAAAGAACAGAACTGATACTGAACCTTGCTTCACCTAGCAAAAAATAATATTCAGGTCTCAGTGCTTTCACCATGATGCCTGAGTTTGATCCCCGGCCAGGGAGGTGACCCACATATGGCGCAGCAGACCTCTCCTGTCTCAACTCAGCAGTGTGTTTCAGTCAATCTGCCTGTTCTGCTCCCCGCTCTGTGTCTGGTGAATCCTCTCACCCCTGCACCTCTGGCTTACACCCCAGTTCTTCTATGCGTAAATAAGTAAATCTTTTAAAAAAATAATAATAGTTTGCACTTGAACTAAAGTGGAAAAAATGTCCCACCTGTCTTGTTAAGAGAGGCAGTTGTACCAAGTGGTACTTAGCTATTAAATACTGCAAAGTGTTGGTTAATTTTTTGGTTGTGCACTGCTAGTTGTATTAAAGACTAGCCCACAATATGCTCTGAATCTTTGGAAACTGTGGTCTTGGGCAATTTTTTGTTTTAGCTCATACAGATGTTTTTGTTGAAGTGAAATACAATGGGGGTGATGAATGTACAGTAGAAAAGTACAAGCTAGAACAAAATTCTTCAAGAGAAATAGAATAAAACCATAGATTGAAGGAGAAAAGGAAACAATGCAGAGTTTCCACAGGAAAAGAAGAGCCTGTTTGTGTTTTTAAATGGTTGATGATGGTGGGTATCAAATCACTATGGTATTTGAACTCCACCGAACACATTGAAAAGAATGATGTCACAGTTTTATTTTAAGATGTAAATATTTACATTATGCTGGAAATTATACTCCTTGAAAGTATTTGCACTTGGCCTAGGAAATATTCAGATGTTGACTTAAAAATGTGCCAGGGAGTACAGAGTTTCTCAAAATTATGTTGTGGATACACAAGGAAAACCAGTTTGAAGACCACCAATTAAGGAAACCAAAGCCTGTCTGCTCCCTTTGAGGGGCCAGAGTCTCCCCTATCACCCCTTCTCCCTGGGACTCCAGCCCAAGCTTAGGGGCCCCTCTACAGAGGATTGCTTACATGGGGGCTAGCCACTCACCCCAAGTTATCTCATATTTCATCAAGTTATCTCACATTTCTTCACAACAATGCAGCAAGGCAGGTTCTGTCACTGACTGCAGTGAACAGATGAGACAAATGAGGCTTGACCCTCACACTTCCCAAGGTCATACAACTGAAAGTGGCAGAGCCAGAATTCACCCCCAGGACCGGAGTCCTGAGGCAGGGTCCTTCTGTGCTGCCCTGCCTCCCTCAGCACTGCCACACACAGACTACACAGCCCCCCAAACCCCCACACCCCCCACTCTAGTTCATTGTTTCTTGTTTGTGAACCTCAATTCTAGATCTGTGAAATGGGGCCATAATGCCCATTTTACAGGGCAGTGGTCTGAAATGAGCGCAGAAGTGCCCAGCAGTGTACCCTGCTAACTGGCTGGAAGCAGAGGGGCTGGAGCCACCCTCTAAGGTTAATTCCAAAGAAGTGTCAGGCCCACTGCTGCCTTCTGGCCACTGAGCAGTTGCAGGCTAGTAGAGCTCTGGCTTGGTCTCTGAGCTGTCATCTCTCACTCGTGTTCCTTTTTTTCTTTGCAGTTGGATCCACAAACTGTAGAAACCAAGAACTGGCACACCGATGTGATTGAGATGAATGGGGTAAGTCCAGAGAGATGGGGTGTGTCTGGCTGGTTTCCTCAGAGTGCTGTCCTTCCCTGGCCCTTTACCCAGGCCCCCCTCTTCCTCCTGGGAAGGTTGGACCTTCTCAGTCCCACCCTACAGGTTTTTCAGGGAGCCCTGGGGCTAGTGGGAGCCCTTGTTTATAATCCTCAGGAGTGGGCCCTGTGTTTTGGGGGCATTCCTCAGGCTCTTCAACCCAGGGAATTTATGCTTATCTCATCCCAACCAGATCAAAGTGGAATTCTCCATGAAATTCACCAGCCGAGATATGAGCCTGAAGAGGACCCCGTCCAAAAAGCAGACTGGCGTCTTTGGTGTGAAGATCAGTGTGGTGACGAAGTAGGTGTTGCCGCCCGTGATCTGGTGCCAGGCTGTATGCCAGGTCCCTGCCAGCCTCCGGCTTCCAGCCCTCCCTCCCGCTTCCTGCCGGTGCTTGGCCCCTAATCATTATCACCTGCCGTCCAGTAGTCACACACAGTTGGGAGTGGCCTGGCAGGCTACGTCCTCTGGCTCATACTGTGCATTAGGGGCCAGCTTTTAAACACTGGGCATTAGACATGAAAATCCCAGCCATTCCACTGCTCTTAATAAATAGAAATATGTGACAGCTGTCAGCCCACATTTTAGCTTGGCATAGCCTGCTGTGCTCCCAGGAGCAGCCCCCCTCAGAAGGTTCCCCGTAGCTTGTACTCCCTCAGCAGGTTGTCTTTAGTCCCCTGTGGACATTTGAACTGAGACCTCTTTTGTAGGGGTCTCCAGAATCTTTGGGCTTATCTCCCCAAATTCCTCCCACCTCTGTCCCTTCATGTCCCTCAACAAATAGGCCTCAGGCAAATAGGCCTACGGATAACATGGCCTCTTTGTCAGTCCTTTCCTTGTCTCTGTCCTGACCCCAGATGTTGGAAGTCTCCCAGACAAAGTTGTTTGGGGGAGGAAGCTAGGTCTTTGGAAGGCCTCCCTTCACCTTGCCCCCTATATTCCCCTCCCCCCAGACGGGAGCGCTCCAAGGTACCCTACATCGTGCGACAGTGTGTGGAAGAGGTGGAGAAGAGGGGCATTGAGGAAGTCGGCATCTACCGGATATCAGGGGTGGCCACGGACATCCAGGCGCTGAAGGCTGTCTTTGATGCCAGTGAGTCTGGGAGGCCCAGCCTGGTGGGGGCTCAGAAGGCTCACAGGGCTGGTAGGAGACCAGTGTCACTGGGCGGCCTTCTCCACAGGCCTTTGCCAAGAGGATCGTTGGCCCGAGGCCTCCAGCCCTCCAACCTATGCCCATAGGGTGGACTATTTCTGAACTCCTGTGGCAAGGGCTCTCCCCACATTTCCTCCCATGACCCTCTCCCCTCCGATTTCTGATTCCTTGCTGCGAGTCAGGGAAGTGAAGCTCAGAGAGGCAGGTCACTAGCCCGGGATTACCTGTAGGTTTTGAGCCCCATTTAAACTCAGACCCTTTGACTCCCGAGCCATATACTCCTGCCTTTCTTGCTTGCGCCTGAATGGGGCATTACAGATACAAAAAAGCTAAAGGCGCTGAGCCCGAGCTTGCTGGCTCTGGCCCCCTTCTGCCATCTCCAGAGCCCTTTGGCAAGGCTTTCCTGCTTCCAGCTTTGTCCACTGTTGGTAGTGGGGCCCAACTTTTCTAGTTCTTTGTTCTGCCATCTTGCTGACCCAGGCTATGAGTAGTGGCAACATACCAACAGTCAGGAATTGAAACTGGCCAGGCCACACTGATTCCATAGATGCTGAGAGGGGGCCTGGTGGATGCCCCTGGACGGCTGCCAAACATGGTCAGGGAGCCTGAGGCAGAAGACAAGCTGGTTGGGAACATGCCGGCACACGGCGCCTCTCTGCCACCTGAAAGCTGAGGCTTTGTCAGAACGTGGTTTTAGGTGTAAAAAAAGTGTGTAGTGCCTTCCAGAGAAGGGCTTAGCAGTGGGGCAATGCCAGTTGGAAGGAGGGTGTATGATATGTGTGAATGTGGCTCCAGAAACTGGGCAATGAGCTCTCCTCTGCCCCCCCACCTGAGTTGAGTTACAGACCCAACCTGAGTTACAGACCGACCACCTGTGAGCATCATCTGCATCCTGACTTTCTAGGGGAGACCAGAACCAGAGAGAGTGGGCAGGGACACCAATGTGGCTGTCTCGGGACGCACAGGGCTGCCTGCCCAGCTGCATGAGCGGGTGTGAAGTCCAGGCTGGTGTGACCCTGACCTCTCACCTCCTCCACAGATAACAAAGACATCCTGCTGGTGCTGAGCGACATGGACATCAACGCCATCGCTGGTACCCTCAAACTCTATTTCCGTGAGCTGCCCGAGCCCCTCCTCACAGATCGACTCTACCCAGCCTTCATGGAAGGCATTGGTGAGGCTCTGGGGATCTGAGGGGTGGACTGAGCCAGGCCTTCTGACCAGCAAAGTGCAAGAGAAGATATCTGTGACTTCCCTTGCTTGTTGATCTGTCCAGTGCACCAGGGGTCACGTGACTGAGTGGCCCAGAAAGCAAGGTGTGGCCTGGTCCATACACGGGACCCTCTCTTCCCTCACGGCCGCCTGTCCCTACAGACTTCCCTCTGTATTTCCTTTGGGACAACTCTGGGACCTGGACTTCCTTGCTTGGTGTCCAAGGAAACCTTCCCTAAGAGCCCAGGAGAAACTCAGTTACAGTTGAAGTCCATGTGTAGATGTCCAGTTCGAGCTGTCCAGAAGGACATTCTCATCTCTCCCCAGTGGCATAGGTGGGGAGGGAGCTGAGAGCCCTGGCCCTTCAGGACTCCTGCCTCTACCTACCTGGGCCAAATCCAGCCCTGGGCACAGCCCTCCTGCCTTTACTTCTGGGCAGATCAAGGCCTCGGCCACGTGGGAAATGCGCCCACAGAATGTTGCTCACTGCCCTGCTTCAGCATCAGATGAGACAAGGGACAAAATGTGCCCCCAGCTGCTTCCTAACAAGTTACCAGTCGTGGGCGGGGCCTCCTGTAGGAACCAGCTGTTCTTCCCTGCAGGATCTGCCTCCGACTCCTGGCAGTGTCCCACAACCCCATGACACAGGGAGGGGTTGCTGGCTTGGGCCTCCCTGCCCTGGGAGCTGAGCCCCACCCTGGCTCCTTCTCTCCCTGCAGCCCTGTCAGACCCTGCTGCCAAGGAAAACTGCATGATGCACCTGCTCCGCTCCCTGCCCGACCCCAACCTCATCACCTTCCTCTTCTTGCTGGAACACTTGAAAAGGTAATGGGCAGGGGCCCAGCTCAGGGAGAGAGAGAGTTGGGGGGTAGGAGGCCGCCAGAGATGTCCCCATTCCTGCTGCCTCCTCATAGGTGCTGGCGTCTCCTGGGCCACCCCATAGCAGGTTGAGGTGCTACTTCCAAACTCTTACACTCAGATTCTTCTGTTTTAAGGAATATTGGGTCCTAATAGTAACATCAAATATAGGCCATAGAATGCTGAGAAAGGCGGGGCTAGAGCCCAGGACTAGGAACCGCACCCCCCCCCGCCCCCAATGGATTTACAGCCACTGGGTCATTCGGTCAGCGTAGCACTTCTCAGTGGACTGGAGTGGGCAGCAGTGGGTGCCCCATACTCACTCGTGTGCCCTGCAGGTAGTGAGCCACACGCACTGGGCCATGAATCATTCATAGTCAGAAAGTCTGAGACCACAAGTCTCCCTTACACACACCGGGAGCAGGTCTCCCAACTCACAAGGACTTGCTTGGGTTAGGACAGCTCTGCCATAAGAATCCACATCTCTTGGGCCCTCCCTGGTGGCACAGCGGGTTAAAGCACAGCACTGTGAAGCTGGCCACGCAGCTGAGGTGCAAGTTCGATCCCCACCCTGGAGGTGACCCACATGGTGCGGCAGCCCTCTCCTTAACCGCCTGCTGCTCCCCTCAGCAGTGTACTTCATCAGTCTGTCTGTTCTGCTCCCCGCTCTGACTCTGGTGAATCCTCTCACCACCTCTGGCTTGTACCCCAGTTCTGTATGTATAAATTTAAAAAAAAAAATCCCCATCTCCCAAACCCTAAATTAGGGTCCTTCCTACCTTCCCCCCAACCCCTTCTTTGTCATCTACACCAACGGGCTGCTAAAGCTGACACCTGCAGCAGTGTCCCAGCTGAAACTAGCCCTGAAGGTGCCCTCGCTTTTGGGGCCCAGTGGCCATTCAGGACCAGGAGAGGAGGTGTGTTGTGGGTAGTTCCTCTGAGTCTGGCTCCCGCCTTCAGTCTTGGGCTCCCAGCTGCTGCTTAGCCAGGCCCAGCTTGGGAGGCCAGCAGAGACCTGGGAACGTCTGCGCTGTCTTGTTTTTCCCATTATGAAACATTTTCCCTCTGGTTTGGCTAGGGCCAGAGCTCCAACCAGTTCCCAAATAGTTTGGCAAGCCCTGTGGGGAGGACAGAGTGGGAAGGGAAAACTCATTAGGTTTTCCAGCCTGGGAACTGGGCACAGTCTGTTCCCACATCTGGAGCCGGAGAGCCCCCTGTGCCGTGGGTGTGTGTGTGAGTGCGGCGCGTGTGTGTGTGGAGGGGCTGGGCCGGCACACCGTTGCCTCCTGGCCTGGGAGTGCTCGCCAGTTCCCAAACAGTCGGCAGGCACATCATGGCTCCTGCCTGGAGGTGGGAATGACGATGTAGCAGGAGATGGGTAGTAGAGAGGCTCTGCTCAGGAAAGGTGGGGTCGGCCTCAGAGGTATTTCCTAGGACAAGGGGGGCCCAGGGCCTCTTTTTTGTGGTAGGTGGTACTGGGCCTGCCTAGACACCAGCCGCCGAAGGCAGCCCCTCCTGTCACTCAGGGCATCTGGCCTATTTAAGATCCAACGGCAGGCAATTCTGGGGTCCTGTGAGACAGACCTTTCTAGAAAGGTTTAGGAGGGCAGTCCCTGGGCTCCTTCTGAGCTTAGGGTTGTTCTGCCACCACACAGGCAGCAGGGCCTAAGGTCCAGTTAGCAACTCTGCTCCTTTCGCGCGCGTGCGCGCGCGCGCACACGCACACGCACACGCACACACACACACACACACACACACACCATTGATGATTCCCCCAAGTCACTCCCCACAGCTTGACCCAGGTTAGGCAGAGTGGTGAAGAGTAGCCTGGTGGAGATCCCAGCTCCACCACTTGGTGGTATAGTCTAGGGGTGAGTCACTTACCTTCTCTCTGTGCTGGTTTCTTCATGTATTCTGTAGTGATGATGACAGGGTTGTGATGAGTAGGAATTGTTATAGGGAAAGCTCCTGGGTTTGTACTGTCATTGTCACCAAAAAGGGGAGTCAGACGAGGCCTTCTGGCTCTTGCAGTTTACAATCAGTCAGGGGTGGCCAGAGAGCTGGGAATCTGTCTTAGAGGAATTTACTGGGACAGACCTGGGGACTTGGTCCCTTGGTTTGGTACCTCCCTACCAGGCAGTCTCTCTTAATGGAAGATGGAAACCATCTCCACTCCAAGCATCATTCCAGGAGTTCTTAAGGACAAGGACAAGGAAATGATGTCTCCCCTCTCTTCTCCTTCCCCTTCAGGGTTGCTGAGAAGGAACCCATCAACAAAATGTCCCTTCACAACCTGGCTACTGTGTTTGGGCCCACGTTACTGAGACCCTCAGAAGTGGAGAGCAAGGCACACCTCACGTCGGCTGCAGACATCTGGTCCCATGATGTCATGGCACAGGTACCACCAGCATTTCCAGACCCATGGCTGGAGGGGTGAGATAAGCTTCCTTAGGGGTGGAGAGAGAATAGCTCAGAGTCCCTCACCCCTCCCCTCCTGAGCAGCTAAGGTGACAGTCTGGGGTGTCAGGGCTCTGGACCAATCTCCCAGACCAAAACAAAAAGCATGAGCTTCGACCAGAGCCCAAAGAATGCCTGTCCCAGGTACTGTCTGCAATCCCAGGAGCATCTCAGTCTCAAAACAAGCCTGGGTGTATAGTAAAAATGGGGGGTGAGGGGTTCATATGGAAGGCCCTGATTGCTTCTGGGGTCAGGAAGTGTCCCCTCCAAAGCCCAGCGTAGGGCTCCTGTGAGGCAGGGCTGCCAGACCAATGTCAACTTCTTGATCAGGCTGGAAGATTAGGGCAGGGGGTGGGGAAGTGGCCCCGGGAGCCCCATCCTCTGCGCAGCGCCCTCTACAGCTGCAAGTGGGCAGTCACCCCAGCCCGGGGGCCATTTCTCAGTATACCAATAGAAGGCCTCGAGGGCAGGGACCCAGCCTCACTCTGTTCTGTCTCCCCAGGTCCAGGTCCTGCTCTACTACCTGCAGCACCCCCCCATTTCCTTCGCAGAACTGAAGCGGAACACACTGTACTTCTCCACCGACGTGTAGCCTAAGGTTGGAGCAGCTGTGGGGGGTGGCCCGAGCCAGCCTCTCCGGCCAGGGACTCAACATGAACTTGAGAGACTACAATAGAAAACTCCCAAACCCAGCACTCCAGACTCCAAGGGACACAGGTTTCCAAGAACTGGAATATGTGCATCTTCCGTGCCACCTTGTACAAAGCCAGCTGACCCAGCCCCCAGCCTCACCGCCACACCCCGGGCTCCTGCCCTCTCTACCTTTAGTTGTGTCTAATGCTCCGTGCTGTTCTGGAGTCGTTTCATGTCTGTTTGTCATGCAGAAAAGGTAGTGACCGACCTGGTGTGGGCACACAGACAGCCTACTTTGTTCTTTCATTTCTTCCAACTCTTTCTTTCCTCCCAAGTCTAGTCCAAGGGCTTTTATTTTGCGTGCTATAACTGCTACCAGCTTATCCTCTTTTGGCCCTGCTCCCAGGCTGCTGTCCTGACAGCCTCCCCTTGGTTTTCGTCCACCCGCCCCTACCTCCAGCTGCCGTGCGCATGTGCAGCCTTGGTTTTGCTCCATCACCTTGAAGGTTCTGAGGTGGTGGCCCCGGGCGGCAGTGTGGCAGTGATGGTAGACGCACACTTGCCGCCCCCAGCCCTCTCCTTGCCGCCACCTGTTGGAAGCACACCTGCTTTACCTTGCTGCCTGTGCAAATGTTGGAAAAGGAGACAGACTTACACTAATCCTCCGTTTAGGACAGAGCTGGAGAGTGGGTTTCTGGAATTTTCCATCTGAGATTCTCCATTTCTAGAATTTATCTGTTCTATCTATCTCCTGCCTGCCAGTGAGGCATCTGTGACGGTTTCTTCTACTGCTTTTGAGTTCCTTTTCCCCTTGGTGTTCTCTTTCCTTTGAGTGTAAAGACTCACAAGTGACTTATCAGGATAGCCAGAGGGTCAGGAAAGAATCGGGGGAGTCAGGGCACTGAGGAAATAAGACATGTCAGACATTCAGAGGAGTGCCAGGTAGCATGGACGTCCTGGGGGAGGCAACCTTAGCAGCGAGGAGTGGCAGTGGTATTTGTGGTGGTGCCAGGCTTCCAGGAGGGCAGCTCCTCTATGGCCGAAGCAGGTGTCCAGGAACAGGCAGGCTCCTTCCCGGCTGGCCTCTCCTGGGACCTCATTTATCTTTGCCTTAGATTTTACACACATTCTCCACAGCCAAGCACTGCCACGGGGCAGCCCCCACTGCCACGTGTGCTCCAGGGCCTGGGAAAGTTGATATGGTCCTTCAGTACCAGCCTCCGTAGTGCCACCTCCTCACCTGACTTCTAGATGCAACGTTTTGGGTGAACTGTAGGAAACCCCAAAGATGGGGATGGATGAGGAGTCGCTGACACTCCCAGCCCGAGGAGTGTGAGTTGTAGTACACAGTTCCCTGGCAGAGAGTAAGTTCTAGGCTCTCAGGACTGGGGAGAACAGTTCCGGTGGCCTGTACTCAGGACAAGGTTTAAAGAAGGGTTTGCTGGCCCTAAAGCTGTAGCTCTTGCTCAGTGAGAAGCAGGGCCCTTTCTGATTTTGTTTACACCTGTTGCCTACTCTTGGGCAGAACGGTACACATCGGAGGAAAGAAAGGCCTAAGAGGAAGGAAATACTGAGTAAGCTGCCCACAGCAGCTTAGCAAGACGCTCTATTCCCTGGGACAGGTGGAGGACGAAGAATGCCCGAGTTTAAAGATCCCAGCGTCTAACCATCCCTGGAGTCTCAGCTCAAGAGTTGGTGTGTGACATGGAATGTTCTTGCTTCCAAAGCCTTTGATGGGAATGACTGGGAGGCCCAGCTGGAGCTAGTGATAGCCCCAAATGGGTGCCTCCAACCTCCCCCAAGCAGAGGATGCTTGCTTCTTGTCATCAGAGAGCAACTGCCACCCCTCAGGCAATATGAGACCAGAAGGAAGGCTGGAAGGGCTGAGAAATGCAAAAGGATCATAATATTTATAAATTCCCCTCTCAGAGTGAAGAGGACCAGGTGGCAGACCTGGACTAAGCTGCACCTAGGAAACAGCCCATAGGTTCTCCTGAGACAGGGACTGTGCAGCCCAGAACCCCTAGCCACTCTGCCCAGCAAGGCATCTGGTGCCAGCAGGAGCCCAGCAGACAGGCTACAAGAATCCCAGTACACCTGGCCCTGCAGGGCAATGGCAATGGGTTGCCAGTTTTTGCTGATTCAGGCAAGATGGGGTCCTTCATTAATATTTGACTCTAATAAGTTGGTGAGGATATATTTTTTTGTCTATGTTCTGTTTCAATTTATGTAGATTATTATAAATTGATGTAAACCACGTGAGAGGAAGATGTTAATAAAAAAATGCAAAGCCCCAACATTTGCACACAACTCAGCCCTGTGGTGTGGATGTTTGTGTTCTCAGTAGTCCAAGGAAGACAACCATTCTAAATATTTAACTCTTCTAGCTGCATCCAGATGTGTTTCAGGAATTTATTTACCTAGTGAGATCCCCTTGACTTTGCGGGGAGGGGAGCCCCAAGCCCTCTCCTCTCTCTTCACAAGCTCCCAGGTCAGTCACCAGCCAAGTTGCTTCTGGCCTTGCATCTACATTTGCTTTCATGAATTGCAAATGCCCCACCAGGGCCCTGTCCATTAATTTGCCTTGGTGAGATGGCAGAAGTTTTCCATTTGAGTGGAGGTTTATTTTATGTAAATTTTTCTCTCCATTTTCCTTAGAGTAGCACATCTTTTGGGCAGCCTTTTGGCCTAATCTGCTGGTTGATCCCCCTAGAGGCCCTAGTCTCCCTTTAGGAGAGCCAGTGGGGTTAATGTAGACTCCCCCAGCCTAAGCCTAAGCTGTTGGACACCATGTTTATTCTGGAGATCAAGAACAGATGTCTCTGAAAATTGGTGTTTGGTTTATGAGCTCATACTAACTCCTTCGCCATCCAAAACAGGAAACTATTCATCTCCCTTCAATTGAATAGTCAATGTGGACAAAGCTTGGCTTATTGAACGAATGGCTACTGACAGCCCCAGGCTCATCTTTTGCAAGGCAGTCGTGAGGCGGTGTTTCTTGTGCTCCATCATTCAGCCATTCAGCATTTTCAGCCCCAGGTACTGGGCTGGCCATTAGAAGAGGCCGGGCATCCTGGCCTGCTCCTTAACAGCTGTCAGGTAGGACTGTCTGCTCTTGCTATCAAAGTGCTTATGGGTGACTTATTTAGGGGCAGTACAGGAAAACTTCTAAATTTGTTCTCAGACCTCTGAGGATATTCAAGCTCAGCAGCAGTGGAGCCTCTGGCCTGTGAACCTGGGCCGGCATTATATGGAATTCACCATCAAGGACAAGAGCCCGGCGTGCTAGCCCACATTCATTACAAAGGAAACAACAGGCATGGCCCAAGGAAGGTGTTACCAGCTGGAATTGACATTATCATTCACAATCACTCTACTGATTCTCTGGTTTCTGATTAAGGGTGAATGAGCTAGAAGATCACAGACATGGGGAGAGAAAGCAAAAAGAAAGGGCAAAGGGTTACTGTACAGCGGAAAAAAGAAGACACAATACCATGGGCTGAAGGGCCCCCACCACGCCTACCTGCTGAATCCAAAGAATGTGAGCCAGAGTTCACCAACTTCATCTTACTGCCAAAGCACTATGGTAAAGACGCCTATAGCAAGTCCCTACTACAAAAGGCTGGGGTTTTTGTTTTGGGGTTTTTTTTTGCCTATAGTGTACAATTAGGCTGAACAACTGATGTCAGAAAAAGGTGGCCAGGTCAAGTCAAAGCACTAATATGTTAAAGAAAAAATCTGATCCCAGAGAACAAGGGTGGTGGTTCTCTGATGAACACACAACAATGTCTCATCTTAGTAGCTGTGTGATTTAATCCTCAGGGTGACCACAGCAGGAAACCACTATGTGCTTCCAGGATGCAGGCATGCCTATCAGCAGGCTCACAGGGCAGGTTTCAGATGATCCCTTACACATGCTTCCTAAAACATGACGAGGCTGAGCTTCTTTGAGGTCCTGGCCAATGTAACGATCACAGTCACAATCCCCACCTTCTCAACAGCTTTCTCATACTTTTTCTTTGAATGTTCAATATTTGGGCCACCATTCTGGGGAATTAGAGAATTTAAAGATAAAAATAAAACAACCTTTTAAACTACAAATATATATATCTAAATCTATCTATCTATCTATCTCCTCTATCTGTATGTATACATATACACACATACACACAGATCAAGAATAGCAGAACATCAAACAAAATGACATAAGTGGTTGGATGGCATAAATTTACTTTGCCCTGCCCTTATACGTGACTACATGAGTTCTAAGGTAGAACAGTTTAGTAAAGTCACTTCTGTTCCCACAGCACCAACCAACCAACCTACTGGCCAGTTGTGATCAGGAACAAACCTTGGTGGAGCTTAATTCCTACAAATAAAATACCATCTCCTGATCTCCCTGAAGGAGAGAATCCAGCATGGCACATGCCCCGCACAGCCTGGCTCGAGTCCAGGGGGAGCAGAGAGAGTGGCGGCTCAGATGTTAGAGGCAGAAAACGGCCAGGCAGCTCCCTCAAGACGCCAACTTCTTGAGGGATACAAGCGTCTTCAGTCTCCGAGGCAGGGCCCTAGAGCATTGCACAAACTAGCCTCCTCCAGACGCTGATGCAGAGCTGGCAGAGTCCTTCCCAAAGGTAATTACTTTCACCGTAGGTAATAATCGATTGCAGCAGAGAAAGCAGCAAATCCTCCACAACCAATGGCCCCAGCCTTTAAGCCAGCTGTAAAGAAAACAAACGCCGTTACCTGTGGTGGCAGATGCTGGGTCAGATGGCATTCTGGTAAAGTTTGTATACACATAGATGCAAAGAAACCAGCACAAGCAATCTAAGTCATTTAGCTGATCTGTGTGACTTCAGTGAAGCTCAGTGCATGATCTAGTCCAGTATACTCAGTGTGCTCATCTAACTGTACATTCATTTCACTTTTCTCATCCCAAAGGATTACTATTTCCAGTCTCAGGAAAATAGCTCCTCACAGGCAGAAAAACTGGTTAAGAGAACCAGCTCTTGGAATCAAGTGAAAGCATATGGCCTGTTACCCTGATTTGTTTATGGAACAAATTCCTGGGAAGGTGATCAAAGCAGTCTGAGAGGAAACTGTGCTTCTCAAAGAGGCCCTGACAAAGCTGAGTGATGGGAAGACCAAAGGAGGAGTTACTCTATAAATCACAATTGGCTGTTTGAGGAGCAATAGCAGGTTTAAATGACTGCAAATCATCCTGCCTCTCAGAAAATGAGAAAGCAGGCTTTTATGTTTGAGTAAGTCAGCACATGGTGGATGGAGAGTGACCCCACAATGGACACTGTTAGGAGTCACTGACTTAATGGGCATGACAACAGGGAGAAGTGTCAGGGAACTGGCTGGTTGGTTTTTTTTACAGCTGATAATCAACATTTCTAGAAGGCCTATATTTTATCAGGTCACTGTCTTAAGAATCCGCAACTGGAAAAAAAAAAACCACAACTGAAAAAAAAAACTACCATGACAATATACAAAATTAAAATTGATAACTGCAGAGTATTAAGCTTCTTAAAATGCATGGAACTGACAATTTGCGGAGCCTGCTATGAGGACAAGTGGGCTTTCCACCCAGTTATGGGACCTACTTATGCGTTGGTACTCTTCTGCATATCACCATGCCCCAGGAATTAGGGTAAGGAAGTTCTTCCCACATTTTCAATATGGTGGGGGTTCTTTTTTCTAAGGTGGATCTAAATATATCTGAGGTTCTCACCTGGAGATGATTTTGTCCCCCCAAGGGACATTTAACAATGTGTAAGTTTTAGCTGTCACAACTAAGGACTGCTGTTGGTGTTTAGTGTTTGGGAGGCCAAGGATGCTGCTAAACATCCCACAATGCACAGCACAGTCCCTTTTCCCCTCCAACAAAGATTTATCTGGTCCAAAATAGCAACAGTGCGAAAGATGAGAAATCCTGATCTAGATATTATAAGTTTCCAAAACTGAGTTAACACAAGCAAATATGAATTACTTGTCAGAAGAGAATATCAAATGTTTATATATGCCTTGAGCTATCCCTGGCACACTCTTATGTCTGAAAATGTCAACTTCAGCACGTTGTCCAAGACCACAGGGAATACCATTCCAGTGTTGTTTACTAACCTCTGAAACCAATGGCTCCTCCAGTGATGCAGCCACTAATGACACTGTTCTTCCAGTCTGATTTTCCCCGGTACTGTGGGTGAAGAAGTGCAATTCAGAGCCAATAAACAAGCCAGACAATGGTTGGGGGGGGGGGGGAGAAGGTTTCTAGCTGGCTAATTTAGTCCCTTCCCAGAAGAAACCTAATCTAATCTTTTTCTCTTTTGAGAGTATATTGCCTAAAATTGGAATATGTTCACAAATGCCTCTTGCAGTGTTACCAGAGCAATGTAACCAAGTGCAGCATTTGAGAAGTAGTTAAAAATCTCTTCTCTGGTGTTTAAAATAACTGACCAGGGGCCTCCCTAGTGGAGCAAAGGGTTAAGTCTCAGCACTACAAAACTATTGGCAGCCACTACAGCATGAGTTCAATCCCCAGTCAGGGAGCTGACCCACATGGAGCAGCAGACCTCTCCTATCTTGCCCACTGCTCCCTTCCGTGGTGTATTTCTGTAGATCTGCCTGTTCTGTTCCCTACTCTGTCTCTGGTGAATCCTCTCACCCGCCATGCACCCCAGCTCTTTTATACATAAATAAATAAATCTTTTTTTTAAATCATGAATCAATTTCTAGCCTCAAAAAGAGAGGTTTAAAAAAAAATGCAAGCCCAAATCATAAACACAAGAGTAGTCATTGAAAACTACTTAATGGAAATTCAATCTAGCAAGTATTGGGTGTTGTTAATAACATTAAGAACATTTCTCTTTAGAAGTCATAAGATGGCAGCAGGAAAGGCCTTCTCAGAAAGCAGAGACACTTACAGATTCTACTAAACACTCGGTGCAAGAAAACATGGCACCCACAATGGCAAAATTTTTGGCATAGGACATTCCTCTCTGCCCCATGTCTTTCAGAACTTCCTTTGCTGTTGGTGTACGGTAAGGATCCTTAGGGTCAAAGCCCACATTGGTATCAATGCCAGCAGTGAACACTCCAAATGCACCTCCCAAGACAAATCCTAAAAACAAGCACAAAAATGACGATTTCTTTACCTGCTTTCTCGATTACTTGCATGGGGCCATAGTCGTATAGCACCTTTTGGGTGGACCATGGTAGAGGGCACCCCCCAGATCCCCACTCCCCGCCCAACCACCGGCCATTCCAACTTCCTACTTGCCTGTGTAGGGGAATCAAGGGTGTATCTTGTTTACAGGTTTTTCTCTGTCTCATCTTGCTTGGATTTCTCCCTTTCACTTTTACAGTGTTTAAGATTCAGTCTTAACTTGTATTCTCACCATACATTCCCCAATGAAACCACTCACCCTGTTTCACTCCCTTGATGATGGCAACATTCATAGGTCATTTAGTATCATTGCCAATTACTTTGCTGCTTCATAGTCACAACCTCATTTATTCTTCACAATAACCCTGTGGAGTACATACTATTATCCTGTCCTTTCTGTAGCTGAAGAAACGGAGCCACTTTCAGATTAAGTAACTTCCCCAAGATCACAAGTGGTAAGTAAGCCCCTGTGTCCACACGTGACCTTCCTGAACCTACTATATACATCTCCATAGTAACCACTCAAGGCCGGTATATGTTGAATGAAGTCATGGGCACCACTAACCAGGTTTTCTTGCTTATTACTCCTTTTCAGTCACCCCAGCTCCAAATCCAGGGGCATTCTGAGTGCTTCTTTGCTTCCCGCAACAGCCCTCACTAGGTCCACAAATATTACTCTAGCCAAAGGTCTTTATCACTTCTACCCTGAAATACTGCAAAGACTCGTTCATCATTTCAGCAAATACATAAATGATAATGAGAAGCACAATGATGATGACCCAACCCACATCTCATGGAACTTCAGTCTAGCAAATTTTCTACAAGGCCTTCCTATCCACAGCCTTTTCTTTCCTGCATTACAGTCCATCCTGATTCAGCATATGCATTACTACTGGTTACTTCTGACAAAACATCAGTTACTGCACTATAAAGCCTAAAGGCAAAAGGCCCATACCTCCCCATGCTCTCTTCTCCCTTCCCCTCACCCCCATTCTCTCAATCCTTCAAGACACAGCTCAGTGTCGCCTCTCTCCTTGTGGTCTTTCCCAAACAAAGCAACTCTTCTTTCTAATACTTCACATGTGCACACTGACTGCATTTCTTTAAATGTCTTTCCTTTTCAATAAGATTGAAACTCATAGCATGCCAATGCGATCAAACTCTTTATCTTGCACATAGGAAGAACAATGCACTATCTCATATCTTCAAAAGGTTAAAGAAAAAGGAAAATACCCAAATCCAGACTCCTTCCTTATCCTTGCTCACTGGAGTCTAATTACAATAACCATAATGGTCTGTTTATCAAAACTCAAGCTAGTTCCTGACTAGAGCCCTTTGACTTGTTCTCCCTGTCTGCAGGACCTTGCACATTATGTGTCTACACATAATGTATCTTTGTTAGCTCTGTGAGAAAAAAGGGGTCCTGTCTCTAACCCTGTCTACCTCACCTGGCAGGGGTTGCTCTGTAACGATGTGTTGAAAGAATCATTTAAAAGGGAATAACCGAATGAATGAAGTCAACCATCACAATAACCGCTAGGTCCCGAATCACAGTACTGACTTTATGCCCCAGCTTCCGGAGGCGAAAGCCAGCCTAGGAACCAGAGCGCAAGGTCGCACTCACTCCGGCGGCGGAGGTGGAGTCAAGGTCGAGGCTCACAGCCGTCTCTTCTCCCAGGCGCGCGGTCTTTCCAGCACACGACTCCACTAGTCTTCGGGTCCTCGGGCGCCCCAGGGTTCCCCTCGCCTTGCCTTACCTCCCACGCAAGCCAGCGCTGCCTTGAAGGCGCAGCTCTCCATTGCCCTCTCGATCATCTTCTGCTCCTCACTCTTGGCTGGGCTCGGGATCCCACCCAGGATCCCAGGCTCCAGGAGCCGGGGCTGACGCTTGTCACCCACCAAGTGTTGCAAAAGAAGACTATACTGCAGCGGGGCTTCCGCCGAACCTGCCGCGTCCGGCGCGGAGGCCCCGGCACCGGGGGCAGTGGCTGCCATGATAGCAACTGCCCAAGAAACCATCGCGCCCTTCTCCCCACAGCAGATTCCACACGCTTCACGCCGGGCCTCGGGCGCCTAGCCACGCGCCGCAGCGGCAGATTCGCCACGGCCAGAGAGTCCGCGGGAGTGGCCGCAGCACAGTTTGTTCGAGCACACTGGTGAAAGAACTATCCTGTGCCCCCAAAGCCTCCTGTGAGTACGAAATCGGCTTGTGCCTTCTTCCCCGTGGCGTTGATAAGTAAGATTCAGATTTACCTGCTAGCATCCGTATCTTCGGGGCTGCAGCGCAGTACCTGCCGGGAGTTGTAGTTCTGACAGTGAGGCCCAGAACATTTCCCAGGAGGCCTTGCGCGAGCCGTCACTTGTCCTCACTGCCGCGCGTGACAGCGGTGAGGAACCGCCGCGCATTCATGAGGCTGCAGCACGCTGGGGAGCCGGGAGGGGGCGCACGCGCCTCGCCCCCGCCCTGCCAGCCTCACAATTCCTGCCGGGGATTTGGACACGTCAAGGTGCTGTGTAAGGAAACATGAAAGATTGGTGTAACTGTGTGGAATAAATGTTACGTTCAGTAATTAAAATCTTGAGGAGGGAGGAGAAGCCAACAAATGAGTGAACAGTAAGTGAAGCTAGCCAAGCAGAAAATCAAGGAACACGATAGGAAGTAACCTGACTGGCTACTCCAGCCATGGTTGGTTGCCAGTGAGATTAGTAGCATGGAAATAGCATTGCCATAAAAGTCAAATTTATATGAGGTCGAACCGATTGAAGTGTTTACTAGTTTGCAAACTCAGAACCCTAAGGTAAACTGTGAGCTAGTGCTGAATATGAACCCCCCAATTTTTTTGCAGTAATTTTTATGACACTAAAATAGATCTCAAACAATTATACTGATTCAGACTAGAAATTCATGTGGACATTTCAGCTAATGGAAACAAGGTGGTGAGGGTAGCAGGTTAACACAGGCACAGCTACTTCTTGGTACCCAGAGCTCTACCTGCAGTGGTAATAGGAAGCATGTGATTCATTCTGCTTCTCCCACCAGGTTCCTGAATGAGCTAGTCCTGCTGCCTTCCATGACTTTTTAAAAAATATTTATTTATTTGTGCATACAGAACTGGGGTACAGGCCAGACGTGCAAGGGTGGTGAGAGGATTCACCAGAGACAGAGTGGGGAGCAGAACAGGCAGATCAACAAAGTAAACTGCTGAGGGGAGCAACAGGCAGATCAGGAGAGGTCTGATGAGCCATGAGGGTCACCTCCCTGGTCCGGGATCAAATGCATGCTGCAGTGGCTGCAGCTAGCTTCACAGTGCTGCCCTTCAACCCACTGTGCCACCAGGGAGGGCCCTCATGCTGAAGTCTTAGAAGTCAAAGTTGGATGACCTCCAGGCACATCCAAGGCAAGGTGATCTTGGGAAGCAAGGAATTACCCAAAACAACTAATTTTTGACACCAGTTAAAGAGAAATTGTCCAGGGGCCTCCCTGGTGACATAAGGGGTTAAAGCACAGCTATCCACCGCCACTGCAGCACAAGTTCGATCCCTAGCCAGGGAGCTGACCCACATGGTGTAGCAGATCTCTCCTGTCTTGCCTACTGCTCCCCTCAGCAGTGTATTTCAGTGGATCTGCCTATTTTGTTCCCCACTCTGTCTCTGGTTAATCTTCTCCCGCGCTACACACACACCCCCATACCTCTGGCCTGCACCCCAGTTATTGTATGCATAAATAAATAAATCTTTAAAAAAATAGAGCAATGATCCAACCTAAAATGAAGGATTTACATGAGCGAGCTCTAGAAAAATTCCCTGTGTCCTGGTACTAAAGAGAAGAAGCTTTTAATAGAACATTCTTGGCCCAGATCACAGGTGGAGAGAGAGAACAGCTACAGACATTGATCTGATACCTCTCTCCTCCACCTACTGCTTGCCCTAGAAGTGGAATAGGTTTCACTTGATGGAAAACTTGAACCTCTTTAACATGTTCTGAAAGGGAGAAGTGGCTTCCCATGTCTGTTTGCCTGGACTGAATCTTTGCCAGCAGGCAATGGATCTATGAGCGTCCAGCATCGCTCATGTTACAGTTTGAGTCTCCATGGCAGGTTGTGTGTTCTGACTGTAAGGAGGTGAGACTGGGGCAGCATCTCAGTAGGTCAGAGACCAGGAGTCAGCTAAAGATGAGTTTGATTCACAGAGAGGGGTGTGGGAAGACTCTGAGGCTCTGAGTCTTGAAGGGCTCCAGGGAATGGTACAGATGGGTAAGTGGAGGAGAGACTAATCACATCCCACCTGGTGCCCAGGAGGCCCCAGCAGGCCTGTGGTTCTTTCAGCAGGGCAGTGGAGCCTAGCAGAAGAAGGGCAGCACAAGTTGGGATAGAATGAAGAGGTCCAACTTGAGAAATACAGCACGTCCTATGTGGATCTGAACTGTACGTGACTGTGGTAACAGTGAGTGAGTGGTCTGAGTAGTCCCACTGCTGCTACAGCTAGCTGGTTTACTGTAAATAGTTGGTACTAGATGAGTAACTTTATACTTAAAGGGTCTTAACCAACATCCTCCAAAACCAGAGGTTAACTGGAAATGAAGCTGAGGGTGGAAATATGGTGGCTGAGAAACTCATGGTAGGAGAAGATTAATAAGTGTCTGCAGCTGGTTGGCGCAGGAGCTGAAGGATGGCCGCTGTTTCTTATAAGGGGCGTAGGTCAGAGTGAAATCCAAGGAATCAAGAGTTGGCCCAGTCCTTGTACAGCTGCCTAGCACATGTGGTCCCATAAGGGTGGGTGTTAGTTTTAATTTAGGGCCTCACGAGGCCCCACTCTTGCATGTATAAATAAATAAAATAAATCTTTAAAAAAATAAAATAGGGGCCTTCCCTGGTGGTGCAGTAGGTTAAAGTGAAGCACTATGAAGCAATCCACAACCCCTTTCAGGATGAGTTCGATCCCTGGCCAGGGAAGTGACCCACATGGTGCGACAGACCTCTCCTGTCTCGCCCACTGCTCCCCTCAGCAGTGTACTTTGTCAGTCTGCCTGTTCTGCTGCCCACTCTGTCTCTTGTGAATTCTCTCGCTGTGCCTGCACTTCTAGCCTGTACCCCAATTCTGTATGCATAAGTAAATATTTTAAAAATAAAATAAAATAATTTTCAGGAATTTTTTTGAACTGGCTGTTAAGCATGGCAATTATTAAAAATTATATAAACTTATGTAAATAAAGTTACTTTTTCTTTCTTGCATAGAAGAACTGGGGTGTAAAGCAGAGGTGCGGCGTTGTGGTGAGGTTGTATGAGAAGATTTCACCAGAGACAGAATGGGGAGAAGAACAGGCAGGTTTGTTGAAATACATAGTTAAGGGGAGCAGTGGGCTGGGGATCAAACTCAGGCCATAGCAGTGATAGGGTTGAGACTTAACCCCTAGGCTATCAGGGAGACCCCTAAATTACATTTAAAACAACAGTAAAAAGTACTCATCAAGACTCATCACACCCTGCTTGTTTTACTACATTTTGTTATTGCCTATACTCCTGGTGTTATTTACAGCTATTGTTTCTGTACAATAGAAATGCTATGTAATGGTGAACTACTGTGCTTTTTTCTTCCCAGTTCTGCAATCAGTGATATCTTGTTGGCAGCCTGCAATTGGCCATTGTTGGAACACTGCACTACAGAAATTAGCAGATGCTGTAAGTCAGGGATTTTTTGCTGTTATTAGTACTGGTGGTGAGAAGATTTACCAGAGACAGAGTGGGGAGCAGAATAGACAGATCGACCGAAAAACACTGCTAAGGTCTGCTGTGCCAAGTGGGTCAACTCCCTGGCCAGCCTTGGACTCAGGCTGTTGAGGTGATAGTGCTGAGACATAACCCCTAGGCCCCTAGGGAGGCCCCTCCCAAAGGCTTTAATAGAGACTGAATGCTTAACCATGGGCCACCAAGGACTATTGCACCTGAGCTGTCCATCATGAACTGTTGGTCTCTTTCTCTCAGAATATCCTACTGTGTGTAATAAGTTCAGATATTAGTTGACTACAGGTAATTGAAGCCACACAAAGGAAAATCATAGATAATGGGGGACTGATGTTTTCCAAATGGTGAATGTGTCATAATTTAATCATCTTTGCTGACACACAATTAGGCTCTTTCCAATGTGCTCATCTTTTTCTAATTTCACCAGTGTATCAATAAATATCCATACACATACATTTTTGTGCATGTATGCTATTATATCCAAAGACCAAGGAATGTGATTCATGAATCTTAAATATGACAAATAATTGTTCTGTGCATGTTTTGTGCAACAGATATCATGTGCTTACAATGAAATTTCCCAAAAGAAAAAGTCTGTAATGTGTCATTCTGTACAATATCAGGCATGTTACAACTCTCTAATGCATATTGTAAAACAATAATTTTCAGACTAGTCAGTCAATTCATGTAACATAACTAAACACCAGTAGGTACATTCTCTCTAAGTGGGTCTCTTGAACTGCATAAGCAAAGAAAGTGCTTTTTGCAAGCCAAAGGGATGTTGGCTATTCTTTACAGGAAGTCAAATGAGTCTCCTTGGGTTTCTTCTTGTAACAAACACCCACTAGAATTATGATTTTGGAATCATTTCCATTGCAAATCCCCTCTTTCCACACCCCTTTAGAAGGCAGCTGCGATATTTGGCTTCTAACCAAGTCCTGCTGTACCAACAATTCTCTAAGTTTTATTTATATTTCATGTGCAGTATGTTCGAACTCTCACTTTCCCAGGTGCCAGATGCTGGTTTGGACACACTCCAGTGGAAAGTGCTTTCCTGTAAAATAATAAAAGTAAAATGCTTGAACAAACCACTTCTTTATGTCAGTCGTGTACTTAGTATACCAAAGTTAAGTACTCTTATAACAACTTCACTATTTCCCCAAATTCTCTCAACAGCTATCTTCACACCAAATACTGATACTTCTTCCTTTGGCTTCCATAGGATGTAAGTGCTTATTGTCCTTTTCCACTTCTTTGGTGTTCATTTGAAAATGTCAACGAGTAACACTATTTGTCTCACTGCCCACCTATAGGAATTTTATAGGAGTTCAAATGTGATTTGAATAAGAGGATAAAGAATTAAAAAAAAATATATATATATATGCATACAGAATGGGGTACAGGCCAGAAGTTCAGGGGCAGTGAGAGGATTCACCAGAGACAGAGTGGGGAGCAGAACAGGCCTACTGATGAAGTACACTGTTTAGGGGAGCAGTGGGTGGGTCAGGAGAGGTCTGCTGCATCATGTGGTCACCTACAGGACTGGGATCAAACTCATGCTGAAGTGGCTTTAGCTTCTTAATGCTGTGCACCACCAGGGAGGGCTGAGGATAAAGAATTTTAACCCATTTTCAGAATGTTCGAAGATACTTAATAACTCAATATCTGTTATAGTAATAGCTTTAAGATGTTTTCACTAAAAGTGATACTTGGCCCTTCCTGGTGGTGCAACGGGTTAAAGCACAGCACTATGAAGCTGTCTGAAGCCACTGCAGCATGAGTTGGATCCCTGGCCGGGGAGCTGACCCACATAGCATAGCAGACCTCAACTGACCCACCTGCTGCTCCCCTCAGCAGTGTATTTCAGTAGATCTGCCTGTTCTGCTCCCCACTTTGTCTCTAGTGAATCCTCTCATTCCCCACACCTCTGGCTTGTACCCCCATTCTTGCATGCATAAATAAACAAATCTAAAAAAATAATAAAACTGATATTTGTTTTATAATAATTCTGCCGTTCTCCCTGAAAAGGCACAGAAGTTTGGCATGACACTCTTAAGAATTAGCTTGGAATTTGCCTTTGTTACAGGGTTCTTGCCAGCTTAAAGGCAGTCCCCATTCCAAAGATCCTACTTGTGAAATGAGCAACAATATTGGGGGGGGGGTACCAAGAAAGTGAGTAATTCTTAGAGATTGCATCCAGCCTTGGCTTCCACCTCTGCCTCTTTTACCTGTTTATATGATATCATTTGTTAGGCTGAAAACCAGTATAATTCTTTGTTTTAGCCTAGAGAAATTGAGAACCTTAGGCATGAAATTTTTTGTTTGTGCCAAAAGCTTGCGGCTATAGTCTGAGGCTTAAACGAACTCTTGTAAAGTGTGCTGTGATTTGTGTGTGTGGAAAGCCGCCATAAAATAACAAAAATATTCTGCTTGGCTGCCATCTCTCTTTTCACATATTGGGCTCTGGAATATCTTATTTTCTTCCTCACCCTTTCCATTAGATGGCGCTAGATATCCAAGAAATAGCTTCCAAATAGCGGGTGGAGGGCGGTAAGGGGTGTTTGTTGCTACCACTTGGTTGGTGGTCGCTGAGCTGACATACATGTTAGGCCCACTACTGCGGGTAAGCATGGCACACATTGTGTGTGTGTGAGAGAGAAAACTTGCCACAGACTGCCTTTTTCATCCAGGTTTTCTCCAAGCGTAGACTAATGTCTTGCCTGCCCACAAAAAAAAAAAAAAAAAATCCTTAGAATTTTAAGCTTACCAGCAAGCAGACTTGTTACAAGCTATGGAACGAACGACTCAGAAGAGCAGCCAGCACTGCTTTAGAGGTTCTGCAGCTTCTGTGGCCGCTGATAATGACTTCACTATTTCCCCAAATTTGCAACCCACCAGATTCCCTCTGCGCTATGTCCACCCCTTCGGTGGATACTAGGGCAGCCACTCGCCGGTGGGGCATAGCCCTGCGTCCAGTGGACTGAAATCCCACGGTGTGACCTGAACCACAAGTATGTGTGGATTCCCATAAGAATGCGTAGCAGCAGGTTAGAAGCTACACAGCAAATATAAGAGGTGCCCTCCAGAGCCCAGTTTAAGAGCTAACCTGACACAGGGATAATTGCGTGAAGACGGTTACCTTACCGGGGTGAGTGCGGTATGAAATGGCCTAAGGGTTTGTATAGCGCGAAAGAGACAGGGGAGGGACACGAAGGGGTAAAGAGAACGCGGATGGGCGACGCGTGGGCATCTCCGGAGAAGTCCGGGGAGGATTTAGAATTAGAGAGCGGAGAGGAAATGGAGGGAGGGTTAAGCGCCAAGTCTAGCTCAGCGCGCGCGGTCTCTTCGGAAGGCGGGCCCAGACGACCCTTCTTTCTTCACTGAGGCCCGGGGCACTCCCGTCAGAGAGGAGGGTTGGCGGCCAGTTTCCTCGCCAGGGCTGCTC